CCTACTTCAAAGTAGGAATAAGAGATCCTCCGGAATAGGGCTTTATTCCGGAGGATCGGGCCAGTCTAGACGCTTTTTTCCGGCTTTTCCCCAAGCCGGAAAAAAGCAGCGGACATCTTTATTTAAATCCCCCGCGGATTTCCCTGTTCTGAAGTTGAAAATTAGCATGCCCCTTTCGGAAAAGGGGCCAGTGTAGACATAGCCCTCTAGTCTGGCAATATCCATGGTCTGGCATGATTTTAGTTAGCTGGATTTCCACTCATCATGGATGTGGCCAAGTTTGTTTACAGCCACCAGTCCTGGCTCTCAGTGTTCTGTGCTGATATATAGCTCCAATTAACCCCTAAGAGCACCTCTAAACTACGTTTTTTTTCCCAAAAGAGGATATGCAAATTCCACAGGAATTTGCCATATCTGCTTCCGATCTCACTTTCGAAAGAGGATCTTTCTAAAGTGAACGTAGTCTGGACGTAGTTTTTTGGGAAAAACCCCTTTTTCGGGAAAAAAACACCCACATAAGCCTTTTTAAAGGAAGAGCATTTTTCTCAAAAAAGATCTTCTTTCAAAAGTGAGATTGGAAGAAGATATGCAAATTCCCGCAGAATTTGCATATCCTCTTTCGAAAATTCTTCATAGTCTAAACATAGGCATAATGTCTTCTAAGAGCCCAGTAAGCAGTGGAAGTGTTGGTAATTCTGCTAGACAATATTGACTTCCCGCGGTTCGGCAGCAGTCAGGTCCTGAGGGCGCTTGACTAGAGGTTCAACCTATAATGCACTATGATTGAGAATTGCGGCATGCAAAACTTAGGAAATTCAGAAATATAAACTCTCTCAATGTTAAATCTACCTCATTGCACATCCTATCTATTTTATGATGTGCATCAACAAACTTCCTGCACTTAATTTTTGTTTGCTAGACAAAGATAAAAAAAGAAAAATCTAAAGGTTTTGGTCTGAAGAATCTGCCAATTTTGATTGTAGACAAATACAATATCAAAAGTAGACAATACAATATCAAACCACACAGCTACTTCAGATCCAGGATCCCAACATTCTTACATTGACTCTCATGTGAAGAGTATCACACCTTATTTCAATTTAGGCAGGCAGAATGTAGTTCCAAATGAGATCTGGATGGACTTTCACCTTTAAATATTCCAATAGATGTCAAGAGATCTTAATGAGTTCATCATTACCTTGGTTTTATTTCTCATCTGAAAGATAGTATGCTGACTGAAAAGGAAGAATGCCACTTGCTTAAACATCATTTCCTGAAGCACAAGGCTTGAAAACATGGAGTTAAATGTTTCTTCCTTAATTTTTTCCTGGATATTTGCTGGGTTGGTGAGAAAACGTGCTAGTGCTGCCCTCTAATATCTGATACTCCTTGTGTACCCCCCCCCCCACACAAAAAAAATTCTAGCAGGAAGAGCTTTTGCTAGCAGGAGGGGTGCACACCATGGTAATGCTCCTCCCCTCTCTGGAAATTAGGCTTGCTTTCTAACTTGATTTCTGTTCTTTAGCTCAGAACATGTCTGTATTACTCATAGCTAAAGGGAAGGATACTACAGTTCAGTTAATGCAACTGGGATATTTTCTTCAAGTAGTACTGCTCGCCTGTAATTCTGGCATCCATCGGATCTCTGAAGCTTTGTGTACACTTTAAACTACTGAATAGTATTTGAAACAGACCGGGCAGTGGCCTGAGCTCCCACTGAGACACTCATTATTAAAAATTAATCACAATCCTCATTTTGCTTAGTCTTATTTTACCCAAAGTAATGTCATTTCATAGATTTCATCTCAAGTTAATGCTCATTTGTGCTGTTCAGGTCATATATGAGTTTGTAACATCAGAATAGCACAAGTAGCTTGATTCATTTGATCATAAATGAGCAAAGGATTTAGGAATTGCATCAATCATTTTTCTTTATTCACTAATATGAAGATACTGTGAAAGTTAAAATACCTATATTTATATAAAATACTGATTACAATAAGGGTATTTCTTACAACAGCTCGCCAACCCACACATAAAGCCTATTTTTCCTCTCTCCCAGCTTTCATTGCTGCAATATTAACATTTAAACAAAAATACTAAGTAGATATCCATTCCCAATTTCTTACAATAAGTAATTGTGCATATATACTATATTATGGGCAGGTCTGGCAACCAGACTTTTTCAAATTGCCCAATACGCTACCCATTATGTGACCCTGTTTTCAACTTTCTATAACTCTGCATAGCTTAAACCATTTAGGTTTAAATTTTGTGTGTCAGGTATCTGCATGACACTCATCAGCTCCTCTCCCCTGCGACCTCCCCTTTCCCAGGGAAAACTTCAGCCAAAATGGTTCAGCTGTTTTCAAGAAAAAGGTTAGGGAAAAATACATTGTTTTGCCCATGTTGGAAAATTCTAGTGTGTTTTTTCTTTGAAATGCTTTAGACTAGAGCCACTATGCTTTGAATAGGGACTTGAAATTTAGCTAATTTACTCTCCTCATGAAATACACCCAAATTTCACCAAATTATAAACCTCCGAAATATCTGTTTGCCCATGCTTAATAGAGACTTCTGATTTTAGCAGTTAAAATCTCCAGTGCATCCAGCCATCATGCAGCATGTTGCATCCCCTCCAAACTCATATGTATAACCAGCCTGCATATACGTCAGTGGTGGGAAACCTGCAGCCTGAATGCGGCCCATCGGGGTTCTTCTTGTGGCCTGTGAGACATTTTCTTTACAGTTGTCCATGTGCAGGGTTGCCAGATTCCGCTGGTTTCCATGTATGTAGTTATTTTTGAACTATCAATTACTAGATGAGTACCCAGGCTTCTAAGCAAAAATGTTTAAGTTAACTAAATGAAAACAAGAAAATAACAACAGTGCTTGAGCCTGATTTAGTGCATTTAGGGGCTGCTAAAACTTCTTTACAAAAAGGTGAGCTAATGCACCCTTATCCAAATCTGGAAATCTCCCAGGCTATGTCAACACTACAGGCTTCTTGCACAAGAAGCTTTCTGCAGAAGAGATCTTCCGCAAAAGCTTCTTGCACAAGAGAGAGTCCACACTGCAAAAGCATATCGAAAAAGCGATGTGCTTTTGCGCAAAAAAGCATCCAGAGTGCATGGATGCTCTCTTGAAAGAAAGCGCTGATAGCTATTCATAGAATGGCCACCAGGTCACCTGTGATTTTTTCGATAGGGGTTTTTTGCATAAAAAGAGGCAGTTCCCTGTCCACACGCACCTTTTTGCGCAAGAGCTCTTGCGCAAAAAGGAGTTATCCCTCGTAGAAAGAGGAATAACTCTTGTGCAAAAACCCTTCCATTGTGTCAATTTACTTGCACAAAAATGTGCTTGAGGTGTGGACGTGCCGCAAGTTTTTGCCCAAAATCTCTGCAGTCTAGATGTAGCCCCACTGAATTTAGGACAGTGTTACTCTACATGCACACATAGGGAAACAGCAACAGTTTCTTTTATGTGATCCAAAATCTGAATTGCTCTAGAGGGAAGACACCAGTGTATAAACTCAGAGAACCTCGCCTTAACTTTTTTGTTCACATGGGTACTTTAACAAATATTAACATTGGAAGTTCGAATCATCACATTTAGATACATATGCAAATGCTCATTTGAGAAATCTTTACTCAATCTTTCAGCAACAGCACCAACTGGAAAGTAAAATGCTTAATAAACCATTATAATTCCTTGAAAAATGAGAGACTACAGTTGTTCAAGATGGTATGTTTCATAGTTAAATAATGTGTTTAAAAAACCCCACATGATCGTTAATGATCACAGCTACCAGAAACTAAAATGGGTAGTGGTTAAGTTTCAATAATGCACCTCTGACTTCCAGTCCAGTGCCCTGCATACTAGCCAATGAAAAATAAGCATTTCATACTTTTAGCCCTAGCAAAAGGAAAGTAGGCAAGACAGTGCTGAAGTTCCCTCCTGGAAGAATACTTTCCTGAATCTGAGGCTCTCTGGACCATGTACAATCTTGGCAGAAACTGGTAGCAATCTTTGAAATAATCTGTACTGTTTTTTGGGTTTTTTTTTTTTACTTTTTTATGTTTAGTTCTCATCCTAATTTGACTGTGTTAATGTCTGCACTATATAATTCAGAAGGATAGGGACATAATTCAAAATGACCTTAGCAAGTTAGAGAAATGGTCAGAGGTAAACAGGATGAGGTTTAATAAAGAGAAATGCAAAGTGCTCCACTTAGGAAGGAACAATCAGTTCCATACGTACAAGATGGGAAGCGACTGTCTAGGAAGGAGCATGGCAGAAAGGGATCTAGGGGTCATAGTGGACCACAAGTTGAATATGAGTCAACAGTGTGATGCTGTTGCAAAAAAAAGCAAATATGATTCTAGATCAACAGGTGTGTTGTAAGCAAAGCTCGTGAAGTCATTCTGCCGCTCTACTCTGCACTAGTTAGGCCTCAGCTGGAGTACTGTGTCCAGTTCTGGGCGCCACATTTCAAGAAAGATGTGGAGAAATTGGAAAGGGTACAGAGAAGAGCGACAAGAATGATTAAAGGTTTAGAGAACATGATCTATGAAGCCAGGCTTTATGAACTGGGCTTGTTTAGTTTGGAAAAAAGAAGATTAAGGGGGGACATGATAGCGGTTTTCAAATATCTAAAAGGGTCACAAGGAGGAAGGAAAAAATTTGTTCCTCTTGGTTACTGAGGACAGGACAAGAAGTAATGGGCTTAAAGTGCAGCAGGGGAGGTTTAGATTGGACATTAGGAAAAAATTCCTAACTGTCAGGGTGGTCAAATATTGGAATAAATTGCCAAGGGAGGTGGTGGAATCTCCCTCTCTGGAGATATTTAAGAACAGGTTAGACAGACATCTGTCAGGGATGGTGTAGACGGAGCTTGGTCCTGCCTTGAGGGCGGGGGGCTGGACTCGATGACCTCTCGAGGTCCCTTCCAGTCCTATGATTCTATGATAATGAAGAGTAATTGAATGTGAGTCATCATCTAGTAAGCAAACCATTAATGTTGCCTCATTTATTTTTTCTCCATCTTTAAAATGTTCATGTTAGAGGCATGATTTAAACAAAGAATTTTATTTTGCTAATACAGAATGACAGACTGCTAGAACAACTATCAGTTTATAATTTAAACATTGTCGAATTGTGGATTTAAACTACATACTGTATTCTGGGAGGTTTTAAAAATAAAGAGGTTTTTACACAAACTTCAGCTACCAGTACAAAGAGCTGTCACTGTCCACAGGAACTGTCTCTAGTCAGGTTTTCAGTCAGTCAGCTGAGGGTCATGTCATTATTTAGTGTCTGCTCTGTAGAAAGAACACAAGTATGAAGATAATGTCAAAGTTAAAATACCTATATTTATATAAAAATCCATATTATAAGAGTATTTCTTACAAATAGCACTCCAACTCACACATAAAGCCTGTCTATAATTAAAATATTTAGAGAAACTAATACTCTATGTCCGTATGATTTCCTGGTTCTCAAGCATTACTTCTGAAATATATTGTGTATTAAATTATGTTTTAGCTCTTTATTAATGTGCCTCTCTTATTTTGGAACATATTTCATTGCTTATACTGTAAACACTCTGAATATTCATATAGAAAAGAATCATATAAATCAGGGGTGTGCAATAATTCTTAATGAGGGACCACGCCAGGATTTTAGAAAGTGGGTTGGGTATAGAAAGGAGCTGGGGATAGAGGACTGGGCTGCAGGAGGGAGTGTGGGGTCTGAGGGGGAGTTATGATCTGGGGCAGATGCTTGGGGGGCAGGGTCCAGGAGGGGGGTATGGGTGTAGAAGATGATTCTGGCCTGGAGGATGGGTTTGGGGTGTGTGTGTGTGTAGGGTCTGGTCGGGAGTTGTGACCTAGAGGAGGTGAGGAGAGGGGATACAGAGGGTTTGGGTGGTGAGTCAGGGCAGAGGAATGGAGTGCAGAGTCAGGGAGGGATATGGGTGCATGAGAGGATTCTGGACTAAGGGAGGGAAGTAGGAGGTAGTGCAGTGTCTGGGAGGGAGTTGTGACCTAGAGGAGGTGGGCAGAAGGGGTACAGGAGGATTTGGGTGGTGACCTGGGGCTGGACAGGATTGTAGCCTGGGGCAGCAAGTTGGGGGGAAAAAGGAGGAGGGGGGTTCCCAGAGGCAGGTTCTAGCTGGGAGGTGCTTACCTAGGTGGCACCCAGCCTGCAGCCCTGCAGGAATCTGATGCAGGCTCCATGCCTGTCTGCTGGGCTGGCTGCTTGATGTAGCTCTGCTCTAGCACGGGTAGGAGGAGTGAGGAGGGCCTGCCTCTAGGAAAATTTCTCAGCTCCTACCCACCAGAAACTGGCCAATGGGATTTGGCGGATTTTGCTAGAGGGCGGGGACAGGGCACAAAGCCTTCCTGCCCCTCCCCAGTGTGCTGAGTAAATAGCAGCTGCTGTTTAAAGCATGAGCTGCTATAAGGGTGCTGGCAAAAGTGGCTGCAGGCCGTGTTCAGCAGATACATCCCACTAGCTGCCTCTGGCCCACCCCAATATAAATACATGCATATTACTGATCTTTTCTCTTTTCCACAGATTTTTTTTTAACTTAAAAGCAAACAAAACCTACTTATTTACAATGTCACCTGAAAGTGAACACAGGCATTTGCACAGCACAGTTGTAGCTGGCACTGCAAAGTATTTGTGCGCCAGATATGCTAAACATTCATATGCCCCTCATATTTTGGCTTGTAGATACTAAAATGTTACATTGTTTTGAGTGCATGTATAAATTTAAAAAAAAAATTTTTTTTACATTTGTAAACTGCACTTTCACAATGAAGAGATTGCACTATAGTACTTGTATGAGGTGAAATGAGCTAGGGACCACAATACATTGAACTATTTCAATTTTAGCTAATTCAGTTATGAGAAAGTGTATAAATCCCCACTTAAAAAAAAATCAGATGTGATACCTAATGGAAACAATCTCAAAAGAACCAAAAAATAAAACTTTTAAGGGCCATCCTCACTTTAAGTCCAGGGTATGTTCCAAAAAAATTAGACTTGTAGCAAAACTGCTTAAAGCAGGGAATTTTTCCCCCACAGCTAACTTCTATTTGTGCAAATTGGGAGGGGTGGGGAGGTTGCGTGACTTAAGAGCAGGGAATGGGAGGACTGGGAATGAGAGGACACATCAATTCCTATAAGCATCAACGACTTCAGTGCGGACCAGGTGTATACCAGTGCGACTTATAGCAGATACTTCATTTTGATAAAGGGTCAAAGATTATAAAGTAAGTTCCACAGTTAATCCTCCTCTAATTTTTACACTAGTTAAGAGGACAAAACATCTTCACTATCCCACATTACAATATAACTCCAGGCAGAGGCAAGACTAATTGATTTTAGTCTTATGGCGATAAATACATTGTGGCTAAAATGGACTGTTCTGATCATGGAAACTGACCTATTGCATAATACAGAACACAGAAATTCATGAAGTAAGGCCTATATGAAGCCCATAACTTCTGGTTGAGTAATAATATATCTTTTAGAATACTGGAAACCAGCCAATGGGATTGTGCTAGGAGTGGGGGCAGCACATGAAGCCTCTCCCCTCCTACCCAGGGCTCTCAGCTGTTCAAACAGAGTCCCCACAATGGTCACTTTTCTTAGGCTCCCTGCTGCATCTGTGGGCTGGATCTGGTGGTTTGGTGGGCTGGATCCACCCATGGAGGGTATTTTGCCCAGGTCTGAGTTAGACCCTGAGCACATGAGCAAGAATCAGCCAGCCAAGTACCTCACAGAGAATGCTTGGTGCCAACTTAGAACCCTGGCTCTTTTGGTCCAAAGACTCATCTCCACCTGTGGCCATCCCTGATGCTTCAGAGGAAGAAGATAAACAAAAACCAAAAACCATAACCCACTGTGGGGAAGAAAGAGGAGAAAATCATTGCCTGCCAAGTGGGCAGCTGAAACACTGAAGAATGAGCTTTTAGGAATGTAAGACAAACTGTAAATCACCTCCCAGGACTCCTAAGCCCTGCTACTTCCTAGTACCTTCCAATCAGATTACTAAATTTGTCCAAACTCCCATAACTCCTACTGGGAGGCTCATATTCAGCCCTCTGATGGTTACAAACCTTATTTCCAGTCTGAATTTATTCGTGGGCAATTTATATTCACTTGTTTTTGTGATGACATTGTCCTTTAACTTAAATAGTTATCTGTAAATACCGGGGAGGGTGAAAAACTATCATATCCTCTCTTGGCCTTCTTTGTGCTAAGATAAACAAGCCAAGCTCTTCAGTCTCCTTTTAGAAAATAAGTGCTCCATTCCCCTGATCTTGCTTGTAACTCTTCTATACACCCATGTCTATGTACGATTCACCTTTCTTCAACATAGGTGACAAGGTATCATAACTGTACACCATATTTTTGTAAGATTCATTGTACAAGTGTCTTTGTACAATACTTCTCTCTCTCCAGAAATGTCTGGCCTGATAATATTATGGGATTATATTTGCCTTTGTCACAGCCATATCACATTGGTGGGTCAGTCATCTTGGTCTCTTTCCTCTCTGTCACTTCCAATTGACAAGCCTCCAGGAGAAAGTCTTACTGTTAAATTATTAAGTATATGACTTTGCACTTCATACTACTGAATTTCATCCTATTTCTGTACTCCAGTCTTCAAGATCATCCAGATCTTCCTGTAACATGCTGATCCTCTTCTGCATTTATGATGCCTCTCAACTTTGTATCTTCAACAGATTTCATTAGCACACTTCTACTTTGTTCCAAAACTGATCTTTGAGGAACTCCACTCAACTCCTTTCAGTCCAATAACTCACCTTTCAGCACAACCTCACCTTTAGCCAGTTACCCATCCAGTTTACAATTCGTGTACTGAACCCCCTCTTCCCTAATTTTCCATATGGTACCATGTGAAATGTTTTACTGAAGTCCAAGTACGCTAATCTATGACACTTCCTTTCCCTGAAAAATTGTTATTTTCTCAAAAAATGAAATCAGGTTAGTATGGCATGATATACTTTTGGTATTCAAATGCTGCCTTACATCTCCCTTACCATCTACCTCAATGAATTTAATTCTTCTTTCCTTTACTACTTGTTCTAAAGGCTTGCATGCTGCTAAGATCTAACTAACAAACCTGCAATTGCCCTGATCATTTCCCTACTTCCTTAAATAGAGGTATGAAGTTAGCTATTCCTCAGTCATATGGTTCTACCCCAAATAGACAGATTTAATTTCCTTTCTACTGGAATAGCAGTCTCACGAGCCAGTTCTTCCAGTATTTTGGGGTGGAAATTATCCAGTTTCCCTGACTGGAGTGCATTAAATACTACGTTTTTCTTCCATTTCAGATGTAATTTCTGTCAGCTGTACTCCTTCAGGCACAAGTCCCAGAGGTTATCCTTATTAAAATCAGAGGTAAAATATTAATTTAGTTTTGGGGACATTCCTGTATTACCTGTCATTTCCTTTCCATCCACAGTGCAGAACAGCTCAATCTCATGTTTCCTTATTCTTATTTATATTTAGAAAACGATTTTAATTTTCTTGGCAAGAGGTAATTCAGTTTGACTTTTAGCAATTCTCGCATCACTCCTACATTTTCTAACCTTCACAGTGTAGTTGTTTTTGACTGATAAACTCCTTTTTTCATTCTCTGTAGGCTCTCTGCTTACTCCTTTTTGAGGTGGTTATTCATCCAGGTAAGTCTGATGCCTTTCCACACAAGATTTTTCCTTTGCTTAGGATGCAAATTTCATATAGGTTTTGTACAGTCGATTTGAAGAAATTCCATGAGTCTTCCACTTGAGTTCTTAAGACCAATTGACCTCTTTAACTAACTCTCTTAAATTTCCCAAACTCTGACCTTTTAAAATAAATTATAATTGATTACCAGATTTTTATTATCCTTCCATTTAAACAGAATCATTTTGTAACCACTCAATCCAGGGTTATTTCCTACAACCAGCTCTTCCATGATGTCCTTGCTATTTATTAAAATCGAGTCTAAAATTGTATCACCTCTTTTTGGTTTAGTGACAATTTAATGAAGAAAACTCATCTATCACATCTAGGAATAATTAAGTCCTCACAATAAAAGTAGTATTTATTCTCCAACCTATATCCATGAAATTAAAGTCTCCCATCATCGTAATTCCCAAAACAATTTCTCTTCTCTACTACTGAAGAGATTTCTAATCACATCTGAATCTGACCTCCAACACAAACCCAATAAAATTCTTCCCTAAAGTGATTTTGACCCAAACAGGCTTTGTTTTGTCCGTACCATCACTACACATTTCTTTAGTGTACTGCTTCTTTGCTGCATGCTATCCCACCTCTTTTACCTTTATTCCAATCTCTCCTAAACAGTACATACCATTCAATAGCTATACTCTAGTCATGACTGCTATTCTACCAGGTTTCTGTTATCTCTATATCTGTTGTAATTCTCCTGCTCAGTTGCCCTATGGAAAAATAGTTCAAGGGACTCCTGTTTATTTCTGTGTGCAAAATTATTTGCTGCATGCTATCCCACCTCTTTTACCTTTATTCCAATCTCTCCTAAACAGTACATACCATTCAATAGCTATACTCTAGTCATGACTGCTATTCTACCAGGTTTCTGTTATCTCTATATCTGTTGTAATTCTCCTGCTCAGTTGCCCTATGGAAAAATAGTTCAAGGGACTCCTGTTTATTTCTGTGTGCAAAATTATGCGA